CCTTGTGTTATAATGAAGCTATTTCAAGTCCCAGGCTCCTAGGTACAATAATCAACTACTAATATATTCACCCCAAAATGACTCTTTATTAACACTTTGAAGTCAAAAATAAGAATACAATTATCATTGAATCGAGATTTTTTGTACTTTGTCCTCCTGAAAACCAGATGGAACTTCTTCTGCTCCCTTCGCCTAGCGTCTCGTTCATCCTGACATGTCTGCTGTCCCTCAACATGAGCCGTACCAGCTTTCCAGGGGCTGGCCGGCGTCAGTTTTTCTTGATTTACCTCGATAACTGCATGCTTTTAGCCCGATCAGGGCGAATGAGCCTGTATGCCTATGCAACGAGAACGCGTAAGTCTGCCAATCAAGGGTAATTTGACCTTAATAGCTTGATGGGGTGGGCTTATTTCGGTTGAGTCTCCGCTTCATCGCCCCAAACAAATGTGGATTCTAGAAGATTTTATTTCAGAATCCACTTTAAATTTTGTACTATCCCTTTAAATGTGCAGAGAATTATTGGTATCAACGGGAATGACCTTCATTTTCTGCGAAGCATAATGTGATAAATAGACGCATGAGTAGGGCTCATCGAAAAAAATCGGTGTATTCCCCATGACTTCCTGCGTCTGACAGGAGCTTGTCCCGGATTTGGTCGCTTGAAGGACTGGAAGATCTGTTAGTTGTTGTAAAAGTTGCCAAATAAGTGCTGAAGTCTTGAGCTCCAAATTAGGAAGGCCGTCGAAATAGACGATTATTCGTAAGCCAGAAAGAAGCTTAAGGTAGCATCACAGTTGCTTGTTGATTTATAGGCTTGCGAGAAGAGAACGTTTAATCACCTACAAAATGAAGATGATTGGACCTGTAGTTTTATTCACGGCTCTACGTATAGCCATACAATCTACAAATAAGATTTGATACGGTCGTATTAATCATCTCAACCAAGCGGGTGTCCGGTATTTTGCGATCCTAGTGCTGTGATTCCCTCAAACAAAACATATTCTTCACCATATTTCCTTTAAAGTAATAGAAGTTTCCCACAATGATGTAAGTAGAGCCGAAGTTTCCATTAAATTACACATAGCCTTGCTTTCCCAAAAGGTTTTCTCATCCAGGCTGGACTGCAGTTTCGACCTCGCATAAGTCTTATGAACACCCTCATCGGGAGTCGAACCGTGACAGTGCAGAATGTAAGCTTGACACGTTAACCCCTCGGAAACATTGGCACGAGTGTCCTTGGGTCACAGGTCAAATGGGAATTTCAAGGAATGCCAGGCCTTTTTCCATATCACATTCTTTGTCGATGAAGCAAATGTATTTTTGCTATAACAATCAACTATATTACTTATTTTTCTCAAATAAGTAGAGTTTCGAAAGTATCCGAAAATCATTTATATGAGATGTATTCATCCAAAGTCGAGGAAAAAATGTCGAGTGGAGGCGATCATGTCAAAATCTGGCTAGTTTCGAGAATTCCGTAAGCCAGTTAACAGAGACCTTAAAGGGAATCCCGTGTATGAAAGGAAGACAATAGAAACTATGCACCTTTTCCAAATTAGCAAATTACCTGGTTTCATTTTGTGCAAAGGGGTGTAATGTAGATAATCCTGTGTTCGCCCACCCCCAAAACCCGTAGGTTGTCTGGCCAAAAGTGAAGGAATTCGACGTTCAGACAATTGTACCAGTTACGACTACTTGCCGAATTGTACAAATATCGACAGATTTTTGCAGAGAATTTAACTTCTTGAACTCCAAACCGGATTACAGTTTCGGCCTCGCATGATCGCTTCGTAAACAGCCTTAGTGGGCTTTAAGCAGGAAAAACGGAACACATTTTAAAATGAATTTCAAGGTCAATTAAGTTCCGCCATTTTGCATAATTTCCATTTAACCTGAAATATTGCGGATTTTATAAGTAATAATAGTTTTTGAGTCTGTTTGACCTTGTTTTCGCAAATTGATTATATTGGTAGGAATACTTAGAGGAACCCACCTAGTCCGGAGTCCATTGTATGCATCAACATTTCCAGAGTAGGACCGTAGACAGGCATCGTCAGTAAGTCCCGCCATTCTTAGCACCACACAACAACTCTTCAAAGAGACAAATGAAACCGATCCTTTGACCAAACGTGTGCTAAACAGTTTTGGTATCTCCCCTTCTGCTTTGAGCTATTCACATTTCCCATATCCTCATATCACACATTCACTGTTACAATTTGTACCATGCTTATTTCGATGTAGTATTGTGTACTCCTTTGAGCGAAATTCATGAAAACCCTTCACACCTCACGCTGTCGTTCTTACCCCCTTTACCCTTTTGTTAGGAATGTCGATCGGAGTCTGCCATATTGTTGCACAGTCCTCCTTCCCTAGGTCTTGTCACAGTCTCTCTCTTGCCCCGTAAGATCCGTCTGCTCTCTCCCTGGTTCACGTATTTCACTCGAACCCTGTCACCCCATCTGTGCTACCTGAGGCGTTATTCGACCTCCCGTGCGTCTGGGTGACTAATTCGAGACTAAAGCCTTTGCTTCATGGACCAGATTTATGGTAAAACTGACCTACTGTCAGCCAAATGCTTCCAGTCTCCGCCGCGTCTATACTGTTTCTATCTCTAATACCAAGTCTATGACTTCCTATGCCCCAGTCTCTTGGGTGCCAACCCATAAATGTTGTGGTACCACTTACTTTGATTTCAGGGGGAGATACCAAAATTGTTTAGCACACGTTTGGTCAAAGGATTGGCTTCACTTGTCGCTTTGACGAGTTGTTGTGTGGTGCTAAGAATGACGAGACTCACTGACGATGCCGACTATGACGCCGGCGAAACGTGTGGGAATGTTTTACGTCCACGGCCCGACTTTGGAAATGATCATGCATACAATTGACTCCAGAATATGTGTGTTCATCCAAGTCTTCCTACCAAAATGACCAAGTTGCGAAAACAGGTTCAATCAACCTCTATACAACAAAAAGAGACTGCGATCACACAAAACGGTACACCATCTTGGCCTTCATACCTTCGAATAATACTTTTAGCTCGTGGTTATGAAGCAAAAGATGGGGTGGCCTTTTGTTTGGCCGCAGTTTTTATTTCTACGTTTTCATGATTGTGATTGCTGCCGAGGTGTACCAGTTTTGATTGGTTATAAATCTAATGTAATTCTAACGTAAAATTGGTACATCGCTGCAAAAATCAAGCACATGATTGGCATGAAATGGATTTCCTACTAATCACTTCCTCCTGTCCGGAGCTTCTAGGATAAAAAGGCTCTTTTGCTGCGAAAGGACGCCCAGTGATTGGTTTCACATGCCAATTCACGAGTAATTTTGCTTAATTTTTTTCAATTTCTGGTCGTTTGGTAGCAGCAAGCCTGTCTTAAATAATCGTAAATGTTAATTATGACTGCTTAACGCTTTAACGTTTAAAGGCTAACTCTTGGCCTTTTTCCAATTTAAGATTTCCTCTTGGGACTGACGCGAGACACACACATTGCACTGCGCAGCGGCCGATGTAACGCAGAAATGTACAAAATACACGAATACTTCAAGGCCGCTGGTTTTTAGATTCAATGCAGAGTGGTTTGCATTCCATTTTTCATCTGCCGCCGACACAATATACTCAGAAAGTCTAAGGTAGTTGCCATAATTTGATGTGAAAGAGAGGTGGATTACTTAAACCGTCTCGGTGACTACACACCGTCTCCTGGAGTGAATCGTAAAGACTTACCGACATCTGGACAGAATGTCTGCATTTTTTACTTTTTCCATACTCCCGATGTAAACTCACCAAATTCATCAGGTCAGTTTGCATTCACGCATGCGTCCTAGTGTGGAAACCCAATTACATCTAATTTTTACGATTATCTTATGAATGAGCTGAAGATTAAAACTGGGTTTACACATTTTGTCGACTTCTTTTTGCGAGAAAGAATAAAATTATGACTTAGCTTTTCTTTTAGAATGACCAGGATTTAAAAGAGTTCTTTACGCTTTCCAAGTTCACACTCAAATCAGATAATATGTGCTGGGTAAACTAAGT